TGGATAGGATTGAATGCATCTGTGCCATCATCAATAATGATTTTGGGCCATATCACCAATTGTCTCCAGCCATAGGTTTTCATCATCCCGAGGGGCGCAAACAGAAAGTCTACATCTCCCTACGTGGCTTGAACTAACTGTTGTGGATTTCATTAACTGATGAGGCCATGTTTTGGTTTGACCACCACTGGCTCTTTTGCAACCTGACCCTATGTCAGCTAGAATTGCCCGTAGAAGGAAGGAGATGGCTAGGCTTAAGTATCACATGCTGTGACTATATCAACCGGTGTAACTTCACAGCCTCGTGTATTGATTTCTCCTCCTAACCTCAATATTGCTCACCTTGTTATACCACACATGAGGTAGAACGCAGGCACCTATGATAAAAGACAACTAGCCAACTTCTTCATATCTACCACTTTCAATGGCTATGTCTCGCTCACATCCATAAAGGAGGATGGAGCGAACTGCTGGGCCGCCCAATCTGAGGCTTTATCTTAATCTTGTCAGCACTCTAGATTGTAAGATTAGAATAAAGTTTCAGATATAAATAACAGATGCTCAGCTTATCTGAGTTACTAGCTTTACTCCTTTTATTCAATAATTATGAAGTGTAAATGACCTTTTTTTCTAATTTTTTTTCTCATACTAAAGACTAATATCGGATTTCTGTCAGTATTTTAAGTTTCCTATTTTTCTTTGCTGACATTCTTGATATTATAAGTTTTTATAGTTTAGAGTCTGTACTGACAGTTTTCTCACCTGAAGTGAATTTAAAGACATTACTTACTTTATATTTTTTGCTAATTCAATGGAACTGTGGACACAATCGATTTCATTGATATTACAGATACAATATTTAAATTTGAAGCAGTGAATTCTTTTGACTAATCATCCGAGTCGTTTGATGCCTGACATCTTATAAGTCAACACACAATGTCTGTGTTTGCTTGAAACACGAAATCAACAAATGATCTTTGACTAACATTTAATAGATGTCATCCATGCCAATTCTTTGTTTAGCCTTCCTTGGCTTTTTTCCCACATATCTTCCTTAAGCACATAGATGGAGTTAAAATGGACATCATAAATTGTATCATTATCACTTCACAGATTTGTTCAATACTGTTCAATTTAAATTGCATAACGCTTTACTCCTTAGTCCATTATTACAAACTTTAATCTCATGAAACTCTAGAAATAACCCTGGGACTATTATGACACAAAATCTTTCTATGTATTATTTTCTTAGACTTCACCCACTGTCTGTTGGTAATTAGTTCCATGTCTAATTGTTAAAAATAAAGAATTACATTAACTCCAAATGTAGCACTACCTTTTAGGCAAAGAAGGTAGCCATTGTTTTAAGTTACTCATCTTCTTTTAGATAAAACAGCTATTAGTAGAAACAAATTCAGGTTTATTACGAATCTGACATCATCGAATGTTTCCCAAAGGTAGAATCAACTCTAAAAAGGTTAAAAGTAACAATGTTGACCTCCATAAAAGTGATAAGATTGAATGAAATTTGTCGGAGAAGGCAATTCCAGATAAACACACTAAATTGTGGCTCTTCATGAGTGTTATTTTCAATGTGGATATAAAAGTCAATCACTTTTATAACGTCACATGTTTCTACACACATATTTTTCAAATTAAATTAGATTCCGAGTAAATGAAAAGAATTCCCAGAAAAAAAATTTACCATGCATATGGCACCTATTTATTAAAGTTGATATAGACATTAACACCTAATTAACATGATATACAATTTGAACGAAAGCATGCCTATGTGTGTGGCCTCATCATGGTGTTATCTTGTTAGCCTCGCTAACTCTTATTTTATCTTTGTCATCCAGATGTTGTTCAAAGAATGGAGTGCTGACATGCTACATATTGTTTATGTTCACTGCTAAGTTTTGATCAGACTGCGCTTTTCTAGTTTAGCAGAAATGCAATTTAATGACTACCTACAATATGTTCACACTTCACTTTATTATGGTTTATAGCAAGTCAAAGTGTCCTTCACCTTTTTCACTATCAGCATTTCGACAGACTAGTAGTACTCCTAAGCTGTTGCCTCACGACTGTCGGTGGCACAGTGGTTAGGTCTCTCGCCGAGCATGCACATGGTCCGAGGTTCGATCCCCTACCGACCCACACCTGACATCTATGGTCGGCCTGCAAAATTTGGGCTACCGACATCCATGCTGAAAAATTCCATACTAGTACCAAAAACACAGTGTGGAATCAAGCTGTAATCAAAAATAAAATAAAATGCTTAATAAAGTAAGAATGTTTACTGCAATGATCGATCACTCTCTTTTGTATTTTGCTATCAAGTATTAATATCTTATCTCACCTGCTTAAAAGTGATCATTCGAAAGTCTCCCTAAATATCACTTTTTAAAATTCATGATGTACTTTGCACACTAATAATTGAATATTTTTATATCGTGATATGACAATATCTCCGAATTACTTAGGAAACTGCTATTACACTTAGTTTTTATTTTGTAGTTGCAATTCAATAGTTGGCCAATAAGGCTAATCAAAGTTACTCGAAGTTAATGTTTTCCTCTCAAATTTTTTCCTAATATGTAATGGGAATAGCAACCCACATGATATGAGTGATTTCTAGACACAAGAGATAACTGAATTCTGTGCTAAGATTTTATTATTATTATTTTTTGAAGAGTAAATGAATCATTTGTTTCGAAAGTGATAAGCTGAGGCATTTCTGTTTTAAAACTATGCGTAAAACTGTATTCTACTGGCTGATTGAAATAAGTATTTATATGCCATTCTAGTTAACCAGTAGTGCTTGCTAGCCAAATTATCGAATTGATGAAAACACGGGACGGCCGTTTCATTCATTTGTGGCCGAGCTCATCATAGGTGAATCCGGTGTGCCTCAGTTCAGGCAGCTGAATCATTTGAAATCTCCAGATTTCTGGCTGTTTTATAACTACTCTATTTTTCAAAGGCCCTTCAAATAGATATTTCATTTATTCAATTTCTCAGATTTTGCCTCAGCTTAGAAGGAAATATGCAATCAAAAGCTGACTAAAATCTTACGCTTCATTCATGAGTTTTAACTATTTATTGTTTTTTATTTTTGATTACAGCTTGATTCCACACTGTATTTTTGGTACTAGTATGGAATTTTTCAGCATGGATGTCGGTAGCCCACATTTTGCGGGCCGACCATAGATGTCAGGTGTGGGTCGGTAGGGGATCGAACCTCGGACCATGTGCATGCTCGGCGAGAGACCTAACCACTGTGCTACCGGCGCATTTTCGTTCTGAGAATCAAACTTAAAGTCTGAATCACAGTGTCTGTCTACACCTCGTCTGCCATATATGATATATAAATAATGTTTCTGCATTTTAGATAATGAAGTAAAATGATGTTATGGTGATGAATAATCCACGTACTAGTTAGACTTTAACTAACGTTATTTCCTTTAGTAAGCCAAATCTCTATGGACGCAATCTATCACTCCAGAATTCTGAGGCTTGATAAAGACGGCGAATATGTTTATAACAACATTAAGTAGTCTCTTTGTGATTCCACTTCTGCTGGCAAATATTTTAGTTTTTAATTTTGTGGAGCCAAGTTCTCTTGGGGGAGTAATTGAAGTCAAAGATATCAGCTACATACTCGCATTCTAACAACTTCTAGAGATCACTTCCGAATTCCGTACCTGTGCCGAGATTTTGTCTGATGACTTTTTCTTTAGTAAGTAACACTACTGATAAGTACTTGTATATGATACCTGACACATAGTGGTGACAGCTGATGTTGAGTGACAGTCCGACTGTCATCTGAACTTTATCAGTTAGGGTTTCTGGACTGTCTCCTCACTATTCTTTCCAGACTGATACATTAATCATCAGCATCATTACCTCCATTAATTAATGTACTAACTTAACATTCATGAAATTCAGTCAATAAGGGTTGTCAGGGGACGTGTTGATAAACACTGTAAATAACAACTAGGGCTGAAATCCAGGGAATGTCTTTATCTCTACTAACAGTTAATTGCTGAAATAAACTTAACGTATGGTCTTATTTTGTCAAGTTTCAGGTCACTAGACTTCAAACAGAAAATTATTGTCCAACAGGTTTGTTTTGTTTACTTAATTTTTAAATCGACTGCTGATAATTAGTGGAATTATTGCCTCGTTTTAGAATACCGGCTGGCTATAAAGAATTTTGGAACCCGTGTCCCTAAAATAACGGATGACAGTGGATTAAAAAACCTGCAAATTTCGTTTGCTATTTTCTGTCCTATATAATTTCACTACATTTTTTAGCATTTGCCTTATCTGTTTACAACAGAGATTTTAAAGGGTTTTCGTAAACACACTTGTTAAACTGATGTTGTTATACTTTCAAAAATTGAGTATTATATATTTCCAACATATGACATAATCATTCATCTGTTTCACTGCAAATCACACTCACTGAAATAAAATGTCATATGCCAGACAGAGTTTTGAGTAGTAAAAAAAGACATCCTGTTGCCCACTGAAGATAAAGTTTATGCTGGTGAAGTAGGTAGGGCTTTAGGTAGCTATTTTATAATTCACTATAAAGTAATGTGTTAAAAGGTATGCATATTTAGAAGGCCAATTCGTTTTTATTTTGTAATTAAGTGAAATCCCGATCGCTATATCAATTTATATTTATTTCCAGCAAGAGTTCTCTTCCTTGGGTATGATAAAACTACTCAACTGTCTGAAAGGAACTTCCTGCAGCCAAAACAAAAACAACCAAGATTCTAAGAATAGAAAAAAGTCACTCAGTTATTCTTAACCTTGAAACCTCACAATGCCCTTATCAAACCGGGAGTAAAACAAATATCTAGAGTATAACTCAATCATTTTCTGATACTAGTAGGAAACATAATTACTGGCATGCGTGTGATGCACAGTGAAAAGTGTGTGAAAGTTCATCACTTTTAACATATTTCATTTTGTACTTTGATTCTTAGTTTTTGAGGCGAAAAATCTTGTCCCTATGGACCCAAATGGTTTAGCAGATCCATATGTGAAAATCAAACTTCTACCAAGTGATGAAAGTGGTAGATCCAAGCTTAAGACGAAACTCTGTCGGTCTACACTGAATCCTGTATGGAATGAGACATTTTACGTGTAAGTTCATTCATCTAATTTACTTCTTTGTTGTTTTTTATCTATGTTTATAAGTTTTTATTGGATGGAATAAGTAACCTATTACTGTCATTGATTAATTTCATTTATTTACAATCGGCTAACTGAATAACTGACTTGCAAATGCATTATAAAATACTAATTTTTTATATGAGCTGTCCGATTTAACTGTATTTATTACTTGAGTATAACTAAGGGTTACGATACTGCTGGATGAATCCTTTGAATGCTTGTTATGGTGAGTAAAATATTCGGCAGGGTGAATGTAATCAATACTTATTTCTTCACTTCATTATTATGATCATTATTTATTCCTTGCGTTCCTAGTGAAATAATGAGCTTCAGCAGCACATCTCCACTCCCCTCTATTCTCTACAGTCTTTCTTAGGCGGCTTCACAACTGCTCACAAACCTTCAGTTCCTCTCTACATCATTCCGCTATCTCATCCTCGGAGATCCAGTCCATCACTCCCCGTCCTGGTTGCAGCCAAGACCATTGCGTGTGATTTCATTAGGCGGTCTCCTCAGACCATATAAAATACATCTCTGTTTCCTCCTGTATATTTGTTGGTTGGATTATGACGCCTTCAGAATTTCTTGTTGCTTATGCTTGATGGTCGAACATCTGATCTCCGGTATTGAGCCAGTGCAGAATGGAATAGCCTGTTGAAATTGCTTCTGAAGGCTCTCATAACATACCCCTACAACATATAGATGTACTGGCTCGAAAATGCAGATGTTGTTCATTCCGCTGATTGCTTTAAATTCCACAGTGACTTCAGAGTAATGTACACCTGTTTAACTACCCGAATGCTTCCTTTGACACCTTCGATAGTGCTGCCTGTAGTTGAAACGCTGTTTGTCCACGTGAATGAGAGAGACGACTTTCTTTAGATTTCAACCAATCATGGTGATTGGTGTTTGTTGTTCTTGGTTTGGTATCTTCATGATCTGAGTCTTCTCTTTGTTCACATTAGGTCGCGTCTTCGCTCCCCAGGAACATAGTCCAGATTATGCCCACCACTACATATTGGCAGACACACAGATTAGACATCTGTTCGTCATTATAACTGCAAGTTATCTCATTGTGTCTGTACGCCATTTGGCAAGTCAGAAAAAATGACTGAAGAAGGAACTAAATAGCGTGAAACGGTTGTTTCGCGTATGTGTTTGTTATATTCCGTGTATCTGTTCCTCTTGAAAATTCTCCAAATCAGCTAATCTGTAGCCCAGGAATCGTTGTACACTTTACTTAAATTGTGATACTGCCCAGTAAGAATAATAAACACTGCTTGCATAAGGGAAAAGTTATGTGATCCACTGGATAACCCTTCGATATTTGAGGTGGTAAAATCTGTGTTCAATAGTTAATACAGTGAGGGGAGCTAACATGACCGCCAACAACATTGTACATATAGATAATTTAAGACAGCCTTCACTTTCATGGACTACTACTACCACTACTAAACAAATAAGAGTAGTAAGGTGGGACAGAAAGTCCAAGGGAAACTCGCTCACAATGATTAAATGAACTCATGTTTATGCCAGTGATTTTGAATCAGAAACATCACGGTATTCGAATACTTTCCTCACTGTCAGTTTGATGATGGATGGGCAAATGAAAACTAAATGAATATACTGATCTGTCTAGGGTTTATGTCAGTGGAAGAAAGTGTTATCACTCTCAACACCCTACTCTCTTTTCAGTGTTGAGATGTTAATTAAATTACCAAGTAGATGAAAAGAAGATGAAAGATTGAGACGAATAACCAGTAGAGTTAGTTATGTGTCTGTAACAGGTTATGTGAATGTTTTTAAGGACACATATTTCTGTTATTATATTTCATTCCATCCATGCTTGTAAATTTGTTATCATTTCGACATATTATACATAATTGTGTACATATGTTGAATAAGACATAAGAAGGGATGACTTATTAATGATACTGTCCAGTCAATGAAATGACTTGTGAATATCATCAGCATCACATGGATATTTGTTACCATGCCTAGATTTGATAGGGTGTTAGATTGTGGTTTCTAATGTTTCACACTTATTTTGTTGCCATTGTCACAACAAGATTTCATGTTTACTTGAATCTAGTGCTAGACTGAATTTAAAGCTTAAAAGCAATGAGAGGCTGGAAGGAAATCCCACATGCGTTCATCTTTTTCTTATTCTGCCATTGTTTCAGAATTCTTGCTTTCTACTCTGTGGCTATGCTAAAATAGCCGTTTAAGGTGTACCCAGTAAATGATTTATAATGAATAAGTTTAGAACTTATTTATTTCATTCAATAATTTCAATAACATGGTTTACATTAGTCATGCATTTGAATTTTCGAATTTGATTTTTTCTCCAACCGAAATTTGTTGCGGAAGCATTTCAAAACTGAAAAGTAGAGTTAATCATTTTCATATTAGCAAGTGGTTCCTCACAGGTATACACATTACCATTATGAAATTGAGCCTCAATCTAATTGGGTACTGAATTCTTCACTCTATCAATTTGTATTGTAGTATGCTTTTGTTTAATAATATCGACTGGCAATTGTGCACCCACGCAGCTGTAAAGAACCCAATATTTCGTCGGTGGTTCAACGGTAGAACGCTTGCCAACCACTTACGTGGTCTGGGGATCGATCCTCAGCCGACTTATTCTTAAACCTCTCTCAGGCAGTGGATATGCGAGTGAGAAAACCTTTCCTACTGAAACTACAAACCTCAAGCTTAAAGCCCTAAGTTTCATTGGGAACGCAAAGGGATAAAAGATAAATAATGAATTGGGTATGAGGTAGCTCATGTCATCTACGTAAAGCGTTTTTTGCATAATACTTGGTGTTATAGTTAAGTTAACAAACTTCAAAGCTCCAGCCTGAACCCTTATGCTCCACTTGGAACGTAAAGGAATAAGATAATAGTAATAAATAAACAGCAATAGTCTTAGTGTTCACATTAGACCTCAAACTCGAAGCTAGTTACTAGTGATTCCATGTGCATGTGTTACTCTAACGAGCTGAAAACTATTATTTAAAATAGCTGCACTGTACTGCCTGTTTTTCAGTGACTCCGTGGTAATGTTGGTTTGTCAAAAAATCAATCACGAAACTGATTTTCACTTGGAAGCTGTTGTTTATAAACATTGCATCTAGGACTGAAATGTTGTTACCTAACAAAGCATAAAACACTTTAAAGTTTGTAAGTACCGAGTCAGAGCTGTATGAATTGAAATTATCTTTCTCGATAAGGTGTTTTTCCAAAATTATGAATGTACCATGAATTGTGAACAAGTGGATTTAGTTCTATACATTACAAATACTATTCACTACAGGCTAATAAATCGACAATATTCGTTTTCAACACATCAGATTGATGATGAACACAAAAGTATGCAGGACTAGTATTATCTATGCACGATATCTTATTGATCACTATGGTTTCAGTATTTGTCACTGGCTGGCTTCATTGAACAATTTTCGGTATACGTGAACACGAGAGATGGTGATGAGTATTCGATGGTAGACAAATATAATTTACAGCTAAATTTCCCCCAGACTACAGTTGAAATGGACTGTTTTTACTTGTAATATGCTAAGAGTTCTGTTCGATGTTGAATCTCTTACATGGTGACTGCGATTCTCATGCTTATTCCCGTTGTACTAATGTCTAGTTACTAGTATTTAGAAGAGATATCTTTGAACTGTGAGTGTGCAGTGTAAAGAAAAGGTAAAGATACTTTGGTTATGCCCATAAACATTGATTAAGTATGCGAAGGATCAATTCAACACCGCACATGTACAGTCGGAATGATGCAATGCCTATACCGGAAATAGGGAGAATGGCAGCAAAAACCAAATGGAAGTTGGAGAGACAGAAAGAAAAAAAATTATATAAGACAAATTGTGAAGTCGTGTGACTAAACTGATATGACAATGAGGAATAATTTATGCTCAAAATGCCATCCGGTTGTTAATTCTAAATCACTGTGTGATATTTAAAATAAACTTATTCAGTATGGAATTATATTGTTATTTATGATTTTCAGGTAATATTAGGGGCAAAAATCGTTTCAGCTCAGTTCTTTCAACACTAAATTGTACTGACTTGGTGTTAGTGTAAGTTGATGTCATCTAAAGTGTTTTACGTCTTCTTAGTTCTAGCGGGATACTTCTCTATTCTTAGGTTGTGGCAAAAGTTTCACCACCTTATTACTTCCCAAAGAAGCATTATTGTTCAGCTTATCAGTGTTAACGTTTTAGTTACAGTTAAAAAGCATGTGGATGTTAGTGATATGAAAAACTTGATTCGGTACTACATATATCTTGAATTGGGAAATCACTTGACAGAGTTTCTCCTACCCCTAACTGGTTAGTAATTTCTGCAATGCTGTAGCTATAGTTTCTCAGAAAAACGCATTTATGCGACCTGTTCACTCATCTACTGTTGACCAGTCACCACACCGATTGTCTCGACTTTTAGTTGATTGTTTAAAATTTATTATAGCTTTTTGTAGATATTATCAGCATTTGAGACTGTGCATTATCAATGAATTATTTTGATGTTTTACAGCTACACTGTTTCAGTTAAAAGTTTATGCCTGTTAATTGCTAAATATTTAACCTTAGTCAGAATTAACACTTTCTTAGCCGTTTTGTTCCTTTTAAAATATTGGCACTTTTTTGCTTAAATGCCGTGAACGGTTGGATAATGTGCAGACGGAAACATAATCACTGGACTACAAGTATATTCAGTTGATAAGTATGAAGCAAATGCGTCTTTTTGGGATCTTTACCTTGAGTAGGAACATTTTGCTTTATTCTGTAACTTTTTTAAATTAAATGTGAAATATACTTGTAGATAATGCGTTTGCTTTAATTCAACTTGTTTTTTCCGTTGTCTCTTTGTTCCTTGTCTTTATATTATCTCACAATATATCTCCATATAACATTACTTAGATAACTGAGGAAACCCATAAACCACATGACCAAATGTCTTAATTTTGCTGTCTTTTATTGTTGCTTATACATAGGAAATCCATCCCATAGAGTTTAAATAATGCAAACTAGGTAACAGTCATGTGTTTGAGTAGATAATCTACATCTAAATAAGAAACCTGTGAAAACTGTGACACTTAATTCTGATAGTAGTTTAATTCCACTTTTGTAGTTTTTATCTGGCTTCAAGAATGAATTTTTGTTAGTTCATTTTGTGTTAAAAATGGAAGTTGTAAATATTCGCCTTGTTCTATTTCACTCTCACGTGATATATTTCTCGTAAAATGTAAAATGGAAATGTTGGGAGTGATACGTGATTGATAAAGAAAAATATAAAGCACTGATATTAGATAGTTGGAGGCGATCGGCGGGAAGCCTTGGATTTAGGTTTTGTGCTAGTTGGCACTCGCCAGTCAGCAAGGAGTATCTGCAACCTTGAAGGAACTCATGTCCCTTCTGAGATGCGAGCCCGCATGTTTTAGTCAGAGACGTTACCACTGATCTATTCGGACTCGCGACTGGCTTCCTGTAGGAGCGTAGTGGGTATTTTTATTGAACACTAGTAAATAGTGTGACGTATCTAGTCCTTTCTTTGGTGCAGACTGAATTCTATCAGTCCGGTTTGCAATGTGGCCACCATTTTAGATAGCTCACCATCATGGTGCACATTGATTTGATAATATTAGATAGTTGGGGCGATCGGCAGGAAGTAGTAATCTTTCTTCCTGTTGACTGCGATTTTTAAATGAATTTTGTGCTTAACGGCATTAAGTTTTATTTGAAAATTATGAGTACTGAGCTTATCTACTGCAGTTATATCGATATTCAGTTCGCCTAGGAATACATAATACTATCTGTTTTCTGATGAATTTAATGTATGTCTCCCTTGGGTATATTTAATTCGAATTTTGAATTATATTCACTACGCTCTTTATCATTCTATCCTCACTTCTACCAGTGTCTAATTTCTTTATCATTCATTTATAACATAATGGTCTTTTATTAATATCTCAAGGGTGTGCGATTTTTTTAAGTGATTGTTTTGAATTTGCGAAGGTAAGTTACTCTCCATAACTGAATTTGTTCAGCTTCCTACACTTTATTTTCTGTGAAATTGGTGTGTATGTCAGTTGCTTTTGTGCTTGTAGATCTAATCTTAATTAAAGGAAGTAAGTGAAAAATTGATTATTATTATTATTACAGCATTTTGTGCGTATGTTTTAAAATACACAGAACTAGACGACACTGAAAAAACAATTAAGAACATTCAGCAGAAGAAAATTAGTGCATTTTGAAAGTGCACACACAAAAATATTATGTGTGATGATATATTATGAATAATATTATGACAGGCAAGCATGATTGTGAGATGTGAGACTAATATGGCGAGGATTACTGAAGCCTTTAAAAAGTCCTCTGGAGATAAAAAGTTAATCTTGTGAATAATGACGAACTTTATCATTAAGTGTATCACTTTCAAGATTCTTCGAATCCTAACAGATAAAGCCATGTAAAGTACATTTCCGCCACAGACTTCATGAATTAACTCTATGTTTTTAGTGGGTAGCATGCTTGAAACCTATGTTAACCATTGCTTTTTCAACCTAATTTGCAAGATTCTATAAATGCTGAGGTTCAGTACTCCAATTAAATGTTTTGTTTATCTCGATTGATTCTGGTCCACAATTTCGCCAACTTTGATGTCTGCATTATGTTGATGAATGGAAACAAATATTTATTTACTTTCCAATTATTATTTATTCTCTTTTAGTGGGATATCAAATGAAGATCATTCCAAACGTCTTTCAATCGAAGTTTGGGATTGGGATCGTACTTCTAGAAATGATTTTATGGGTTCATTCTCCTTTGGTGTTAGCGAGATCATTAAAGAACCTGTATCTTCATGGTATAAGCTGTTAAACCAAGAGGAAGGAGAATTCTATTCGCTTCCATGTATCGATGAAGCCGGCACCGCTGTATTGGAATTACGTAAACGTATGGAGGTTAGTTGTGTATTGTCTACACTGGTTAATTAGAATTGTTATTGTTGTTATTGTTATCAATCAAGGGTTTTTAGCCTGAGTAATAAATGTCTGTAAATAATTTTCTGGCTGTTTGATTGTTTGAATGCATAAAGTCACAAATTGTTGAATAAGTTCCAAAGTTGAAACCTTATTTGATAATTGCGATATTCACGGAAGGGAACAGATGAAATGATAGTCTTAATACAATTTATGTAGAGATATTTGGTTTTTAATTTAATTGGTGGATAATGACTAGCAGTGGAATCCAGGATGCCCATTTCGTCCTATTTGGGACTCGTCATCTGGGTGTACCTGCATTTCTCAGTAAGTGATGATGCTCCCACCGAGGCTCGAATCCAGTGACCATAGTCTCAAACGCCAGAGCGTTATCTACTAAGACCACTTGGACACAAGAAGCCGACATGTCAGCCTGAAACTGAGCATTTCGGTCCAATCAATTGACGGGAAAATCAAAAATTCAGTTAAATATATTCGGTTTTTAGGTCCAATTAGTGATTTCGCCTAAGGAAATTGCGGAAACTGTTTTCATATTAGTATATAGAATTGTAATACATCCGTTCTCCGAATCTCTACAGCATCGCACTATTCAGTTTTGAATTATTTCCATAGTATTTTATCCATAGTGGAGAGGTGATTTTGACGTCATACGTAAGTTTTGTCAACCTTCTAAGATCACCTATACTCTTCAAATATAGTATTAAGTGAGCTATAGGGTTCTGCTAGTGAATATATATATATATATATACATATATATATATATATATATATATATATATATATATATATATATATAACATTCTTCTTATCAAAAGTAACACTTCTGCTTATTTTTTGTCGATCTACTAAAAAATGTTTCGAAAAAATGCATAACTAGATGTAGTCTGAATGTTAATTTCGTTTTCATTGATAAGCAGAGAAGACAATTATTCAGCCTAATAGTTTCTTATAAACATTTCAACTGGGATTAGAAATTATTGACCTTTACATTTGATATTCATACCAAGCCTGAATCATCCCTTCTTATGGCTGACACAGTGTGTTTTGAGCTGAGCATAATATACTACTGAATTAATAATCATTAGTTGTTCTCATCATGCAACTGATTTACTCTTTTCTTCTCATTTCTCAAACCCTCTAAAAAGCTAAAATACATTTTTTTAAAATTGTCAATAATGAAATTTCAGTTCATTCGTCACAAATCAACAATGTGTTTAGTGGTTAAGCAGTTAAAAACCATCAAGTCTCGTCTTTAGCTAGTATAAAAAATGTCTCCAATTAACTGTCGGGTGAAATGAGGTTGGTTTAAAATACTATTTTTATTTAGTCAAAATTGTATACGATGAAGAATAGATTGTTTGATATTGTTGTCAATGTTGGCTTGTTAGATGTTTTCGTCAACAGTATCAATTGGTTTATTTTGAGTGAAAAAAGCGGCAGCATGTTTGCGAGTTATTCTAATAGTTACAAGACTAAATAAGCAGATGGTGTTGTTGTCAGTAAAAATTTGAACGAAAATTTGTCAACAAAAGTTATACGCGTAAATGATGTGTTGTTGTTTGTTTTTCTGTTTGTGTGTGTGTGTGCTGACTATCATGAACCTTCAGTGTGTTTCCAATAGTTATTCACTGATTTTCGTCTAGTCAGTTAACGGACATTTCATACAACCTTACACTCAGTTGTACTTTTTTGAAAAAGGTTCGTGTGATGAGTGTTTTTATTACACGTATAGGACGAAAACTTATTTTCAATAAAATTGACAAGGACTACCGTTTTTTATCAACCCTGTTCTTCTGACTAATATTTTCTGCTACAAATTAAGATTTGAAATTTTATTACCAGAAGATACTACTGATTCAGGTATATTCGAAAGTTTCGCTTCGAAGCCTGGAATTGAGTTTATGGGTTAGTCGTAGTTCTTCTAGCTAAAAATGTCTGTTTTCTGCATTTTTCAACGTCTCAATCTCATTTTAATGTAACACTTCATTTGTCTAAAGTCTTTGATATTTTTTAAGTTAAATGCTTTTTAGTCTATGTTCATAAGATGTATTTCCATCTTCAGTGGTAATTTGCAGTGGAGTAAATGAGTGGTAGCGATAATATCACTTTATTTTACAAGTGTTTTTTAAATAATCCGTTTAGCTGATTTTCCCTTATAATCTACCTTTATGATCTGCTAAAAGTTACTTTTAATGTGTCATCCATTTTAAATCATTTAGTATAGTCTCTTTGAGATTATTTTTGTCGTTTTGTACATCAGGATTGAAGAAAATGTCTCAGAACTGTTGCGTAAATCATAGTGAATTATTCTTCTGGTAAACACTATTGGATCATGACTTGCAATGAAGCCCAGTTTCTTTCTTTTTTAGAGTTTGTAGGCTTGTGCAGTCTCATCTCAACAAAATCCACGATTTTGTCGAGTGAAGTATAACTGCACTATCTGAATTGCTACACGTTATCGCCTAGTAACGTATTTTCGCATAGGTTTCAACTAATCACTTGATGTTACTTGACTTTTAAAACTTCAGATGATGCTAGTCACCTCTCCTCACTGAACGTAATAATGTATATTTCAATTTATTGTTGCATTGTTTGGTGACTTCTGCAAAAGGGACATAGATTTTGTCGTTTTACGAGCCAAAATGTACTAATCTATGCTCCGTAAATTAGAAAAACACCTAGTATCGCCAACTTTCATTCATTTCATGTTTTAATTATTGGTTCTACGTATCCTGCATCTAGGATGATAAAGTTCTCGTACGATTCCTGAGATCAGAAGAGTCAACGTGGTAATTTAAATTTGGTAAGGTGCCAACCTTACCGCACCAGTAGTGTGGGTAATGTTAACTGGTCTGAGTAACAGTTGTTTTAATCTAAGTCTTCATTACTTTTACAATGAAGAATGTTACACCATATATATATATATATATTAAAACTGTGGTTGTTCTCTTCAGTATTACTGTAGTGAAAGTTTAGTTTGTCCACTATTCCAATTACTCGTTATTTATACTGTTAATATGATGAGCGTACACACACTATAAATGATAGTGAATTTTTCTATTTTTGTGTGTTTATTACACAGTATAATTGTTCACACATAAATTAAGCATCCAGCCGCTTAACGAAGCTGGTTGTGGGATTTTACAAAAAGTAAAATATAAAATTTGCCAAATGGTCACTATGTTCACTTCTAAATTTATTTATTTCACACACAAAATTGGTTCAATATGGACACTAAGAAATTCACCACACAAAGAATAATTCAACAACATCTAAAGGAAATAGAAGTGAAGTAACTTAAGAAGAGTGTTGTGAAAACACATGTACACATACTTGTCAAGAGCACTGAAAGGACTCTTCATTACTGAGTATTGCTTTAAAAGTGATCACCGCTGATCTTGGATTTCAATTAGGCCTGATAACATCTCTATCCACCGGGTATGATTGGATAAGCTTCACTTCTACTGCTGTGGGGATTTATAATAAAATCAAAGTAATTTTTACTTGAATTCTTATCAGTATTCTGCTAAATATTTCCTGGGAATTTCTAATTCATAATCACAAACAATGGACCTTGATGCGCTCTTCGATTGGCGATACTCTGAGAAAACCATCAAGTGACATCAAACGACAGGCTCTCGAGTGGAACCCGAACGGGAAGCGGCGAGTTGCTTGTCAGTGCGAGGGTGACATGGAGGAGGTAATGTAAGGAGTAGATGAAAGCATGTGGACAGTTTTGGAGGCAGGTGAAAACGTTGGCAGAGAACCGAACGCAATGGTGACTTGCGGCTGAAGCCTTATATTCCTGTAGGAATTAAAGAAGACAATAATAATACTAATCACAAAGAATTCATAGTGTCCAGCTAAATAGATATAGAACTATGTGTTTAGCTAAAATACCGAATCGTCATCATGCTAGTTTACTTGCGATTGGGAACTACTCACTAAATCTCCATATAATATTTTTTATTTTACCATCGCCGATTCGTTTTTCTTTTTACCATATATTTCTCTTCAACTTGATATTCAGCTTAGTCAAATTCATATTAATTTACTAAAACGATGATAACTTTGAATATTTCTTCTTGCTACAGCGCATGTCCACAGAACATTTAAATTTGGCTAACAATCGGAACAGAATTTCTCATGCATCTATGACCTCACAGCACAAGCCTGATATTCCTAGACCAAGTGACTTCAATTTTCTCGTTGTCTTGGGAAAAGGCAGTTTTGGAAAGGTGACCTCGTCGTTTTGTTTCAAATAAAGTTTTGTAATTACTGTATGGGTAAACATTTTTGTATTTTGCACGAAGCTAGGTATCAGTTTATTAAAAAAATGTTCTGCAAGTGTTTTTGAATACCGTTTCATACATCAAATAATTTCTAATTAGTTGTGTTCTCTGAGCTGGTTTAATTGAAGAGCTTTCGCTATCCTTCTGGACAACGTCTTCAGCGCAAGTTTTAGCATAAAATGAACTGACTTAAATTCTCCACGAATGATAGTACTCCGTCTAATGGTTACCATCTTCGTGATTCGTAGTCGATTTTAATTTGTATTAATCATTTTTATTGAGTTGGATTTGAAACTTTTTTTGTCGTATGATTTACTTTTTATTAGTTGGTAGATTTAGTCTAGATTAATATATTTGTCAATCGCAAATTCGCTTGATTACCAACCAGGCTTTTAGGAATTCTCTGGCACTTTTGGTGTTTCCTCTGTTTAAACTTTTGACAAACCTCTCTCGAGATTTCAAGGGACAATTCTGAGGCAATCTTATTTTAGAGTCAGTTCAAAGAATAGTGGTATTACCACATTCACTCCGTATGTATAAACTGTACATTAGTTATACTTTAGCAAGATCATTGAGTTTAAGATGTTTTCAGACAATATAGCTTTAAAAACTTCATTCAATCAAATTTGGATAAAACAAGAACGACAAATATACCAGGATAATCTGAGCTCATGTTTTTATTTTTTTTATTATTTCGTGGATTCTTCTCAACTGGTTACAAACTGAACAATATCAAAATTATAAATTAAATTAAACATCTGAAACATACTGTTTTACAATGATAGGGAGTAACAGATTGGAAGAACTAGGAGTAACATTGGTCAGGAATGATGTGAGTTTTTAAATTGATAATAATAATAATTTAAAAACTCACATCATTCCTGACCAATGTTACTCCTAGTTCTTCCAATCTGTTACTCCCTATCATTGTAAAACAGTGTGTTTCAGATGTTAAATTTAATTTATAATTTTGATATTGTTCAGTTTGTAACCAGTTGAGAAGAATCCACGAAATAATAAAAATAGAAACATGAGCCCAGATTATCTTGATACATTTGTCTTCCTTGCTTTATTCAGTGTAGCGAATTCAAAACAGGCGGATATCTTTCAGAATTCATAAGAAGATTTGAATTGTTGTTCTCGGAGTATTCGAGAAAGGTCTAACTAATTCACTTCAGTATGCTTTAATAATAATAATTTGCTTTATTCCAAAACAGTACTTGTGATACAGAATGGAATTCTCAGCATTTTACTACAGTATTCCATCCAGCTCGTACATTAACAATAAGTAAATTTCTACATAGATTAAGGGTAATCTCGGTTAGTTTTGACAACAACATAATAGCATATCGGTAGCAAAGCCAAAATTGAGCAGAGTGTTTGAAGGTGTTAGAAAAGTATATGGTAGCATATTTACTGGCGTATGCAGAAGAAAGAAACAAAGGAGCGCATAACAGAGAAAAAAAGAGAGAGAAAAGGAAAAGAAAGAAAACGTTGTACCTATAAAAGATATGAATAGGAAAGACGAGATCCAGTTGTTCTACTAATTATTTAATTAGTTATAGGTATCACGCCTAATGCTTTCTATATCGCACAGAATACGAGCGAAGTAGGGTATGGTTGAGTTTTTATACTTGCTAGTGCGAGCATATAGTTTTATGTATGGGCTTCTGGTTTTGCCTGATGAGATACAAGGGGAGAATTGTGAATGAAGAGGGTGGTGTGAGTTAGATAAAATGGATTTTGCCCATTTTTCACATGAGTCCATGTGCCTGTATTGTTGTAGAGGTTCTGTCTTACGTGGCGTAGTATTTATTAGTAGTAAAAGAACAAATAAAAATCACAAAGAGAAACAGTTGTCCAACGGTAGGAAAAATAGACATGCATCCTCACCTTTCATCCTCAACTCTGCCTTATTCACACATTCTTCAATAAACCTTCGTGTTAGTGTATGTTTTTTCCTCACTTTAGGAGATATGATGGCAGACAACTCAAACATTTTGCCAAAGAATTTCAAATCTAAAATTTCGTTTCTTAATCATATTCTCAAGACATTTCATACTATTTTTGAAGGATCTGACGGATCTTTTTAAATATTTATATTTATCCTAACTGTATGTTTCGCTCGCATGCATGTAGTTCAGTTGTTATGTTAGTGATCAACTAAATTTCACTTAAGCCAATCTTATGCATCTTTTGACATTTAATGTAGATTCTTGTGGTCAGTTATATGCTTAAAAGTATTATATGTCATGTATTTTGTCGAATGACTAGTATTAGTTGATTTCTCTTCACTCAAGAGAATCACTTATCCGGAGACTGCTTCCTAAATTAACATCACGCGAAGGTCTGGGGTAGAAGAATTGGCATTGATAATCTGCTTTTCCTGTCTTCAGCTGCGGTTGCACTAGAACAAACAACAAGAGGAATAGAAAGAGTGTGTGTGTGAGAGAAATACATTTATAAGGCAAATCGGGAAGCCGTGTAACCGACTGAATTGATTGTGAGTAATAAATTGTGCTTGAAACGTTATCCACTTATTAACACTGCATTAATGTGTAATATTTGAAATATACTTATCTAACATGGAGTTACATTCTACCACAATGGCCAAGTTCTACAGTTACACTGGACCATACTTGCCTTCAAAGTTTTCTTTTCAGAAAACAACTCATTGGATATTCGCCTCAACGAATGAGTTTTAAGTAGTATAATGGGTATCTGAAGCTTCTAAAATCTATCCAGTTAAACAGCATGATAAATTGATTAATTATTATCATATATCAAGCGTTGACTACAATAGAGAAAAATTTCGAAATATTTGATTTCAAGCTGATGAATTAGAGGCAGGTTACTCGTTGCCAGGTGAACAAAAAGTTATGTTATGTTCCACATTAGAGTGAAGCTGTTTTTCAGTTGATACTTCTGTCGTTTGTTTAAACGAGTGACTTACCTCTGTAATAAAAATAATAATAATACAATGCCTCAAGATGTTCACTGTTATTGCATTTTGAAGGTTGTTCTCGCTGAGCAAAAGCACATGGATGAGCTCTTTGCTGTGAAAATCCTGAAAAAAGACGTTATTCTGCAGGATGATGACGTTGAATGTGCCATGACAGAGCGTAGAGTACTTGCATTACCCAACAAATCTCCTTTTCTTGTACGCCTACATTCATGTTTCCAGTCTATGGTAAGTTGTTTTTAATACTGCTTAAAATAATTTCACAAAGAATTACTAATACTTGTTAGTTAATTAGTTGCCTCACTATTACTGAACAACATTATTCATAATTCATTACTTATTTCTTTGTATATAGAAAAGTTTTGTGTACAGCTGTACAGCTTTCAATATAAGAGTCGTATTCGTATGCATTCGCCGAAAATGACGTTTCTGTTAACTCATCTTCATTTCATCCAAATTTATCAAGCATTGGGTGAATTCAACATAAACTCCCTGTCACCTCGTAACATGAACTATAGATCAAGTGCTTAAACCATATTGGTTTAAGGAAAAACAGTGTTGAATAAACTCGGGATAAAACTTGAGTTTTTTCTAAGTGTAAGATGACGGAGTAATTGTGTATATTATCGTTTACACAGCTGTAATTCTCGTTGTTTATTGTATACGCATTTTCGTTTTTAGTTAGTAATATAATCCTTTCAGCTGAAAAGCGGTTAAAAAGATCTATTACTCCTTTAGTTTTAACATCGAGAACGGTGTTTTGTTTAGGTCCTACTTACTGGTCTCTGGCGAACGTGATGTGAACTCATATTCACTGACTTTCAGCTTGTGGTCCTTGAATTCAATCACATCCTGAAAATTTAGATTTAGGGGAGCTAATGATATCTTGAAACTCGTCCAGCTTGCTAGTTTTCTATCCAGTTTCAAGCCTGGGCAGAGTGGGGGGCCGAGGTGTGGGGCCAGCGAACCTATACCACAAAACCAATCAAACTACTATATTAAAAATACAAAATATCCAAATAACAAAATTATTCTTCGCGGGAATTGGAGAAGCGAAATGACACAGAGGGCTTGTGAAAGCCTTCGGGAAAGCAGTAAGCAGTCGATGTGTGATGTCCCTACCATGTACAAAGCAGGGAGAGCTACTCGGGCAACCTAAAAATGCGAAGGTATTGCATAGAAGTGTTGGGAATCTGCGACTGAAGATGGAATGGAAATGGACTGTTTGAATTGTCAGCTGATTAGTCAGTAAACTACTTCGGTCACCCAGACGACCACCACGAGCGTACTGAGACAGTGAGTGGCTACCAAGGTGTCACCATTGGCAGCCTAAGCCCTAATGCAGTGAGAACCAATCTCTTTCAGGATTATGACGCTAAGATCCAACTCAAAAGGCAGGAAGGAAGTTTAAAACTATCCAATTCTACGTACAGTGAGGAACAAGAGACAGCTACACGCAGTAATGGACAACATTCCAAATGTTGACATCAAAATCCTAATAGGCGATAAGAATATCAACTAAACTGGGAATAGAAAATACAGAAAGCAAACTAACTCCTCGTGGGTCAACAGGCTCTCTTCCTCGATAAAGTGAATGACAACGGAGAACTCTTCACAGACTTCTGTGCTTTCAATGATCTGGCGATCACAGGCAGCGTGAAAAAGCACAAAAATATACACGAAGCAGCATGGATTTCACCTGAAGGACACACCACAAAACAGACAGACTTCAAATCAATGCTGCTCAAAAAAGAGGAGACACAGCCTACTGAACACGAAGTTGAGAAGAGGAGCAGATGTGTATTGAGACCATCATCTAGTTCAGCGAGCCTTCAGGGTGAGGCTGAAATCCTCCAGAACAACTGGAGACATACTACAGTTTAATTCAACACTGAGAAACTGAAGGAAAAAACTACAAGGGATGTCTTCAATACAGATCAGATCAGAGCAAAGTCAGAGACACTACGTGGTATCACAGAAGAACCCTGCTTGGGAGAGCCTTGGAACTCTCTGAAGGTGATGTTCAAGGACATGAAGACAGAAGAGACAATACGAGGAATGGCTGTCAATAGACACCTACCTGGAAGCTAACTGAGGAGAGAAGGGTGATGAAAGAGATTATTCAATGCAAAGATTGAAAACAGAAAGAGAAGCTAAGTTCAATGCATGTCGCACTGATTAAAGAAGTGAAGAGGAGTGCTAGGAAAGACAAAAGTTGTGTGAATGACGTGATATGATTATGAGCAATACTTTGTGCTCGAAACATCATAGGTTATTATTACTGTACAACACTGTGTGATTTATCAAAATAAAATCTTATCTATAATGGAGTTATACTCCATCACAGTGCTCAAGTTCTACATGTATATCAATAAGACAAAAGACAGTTCTACAAAACACTGGCTGGAGGCAAGTGAGGCAGAATAGGCAGGCCGCGGGCATGTAAGAGATACCTCAGTACATCAGATAACCAGGCCTCTTTCGGGGAAGGGGTCAAAGCAGATGATGAAAGCAGCAAACGATGTTCAAGGGAACCTGATTACCAAGGAAGAGAAAGAAATAAAACGGCTGGATTATCACTTCAAGGAACTCTTGAATGGACTATCACCTGCAACTCACCCAGGAATACACCACCATGGACAGTACGCACAGAACTGCCTGGAAGTAAACATCAATCTTCCAACGAAACCAGAAATCCTAAATGAAATTGAGCTACTGAAGGCCAGTAGCAGCATATATGCTCGTGCCATTAAAGCGAAAGGCTTGGAATGAAGAAAAAGACCCTGCAGACTGGAGTAAAGGCTGGCTACCTTGTCTAACTAACATACAAGGTCCACTTAAACCTCTACAAGAACTGGAGTGGAATAGTGCCCTTGCCCATGCCAAGCATATACAAAATACTGAGTCGCATCATCCCGGAAAGAATGAAAGACTCCCTGGATGCACAACTCCGCCAGCTCTACCTGAACAAGCTGGATTCAGGAAAGGCAAATTATGTGCTGATCAAATTTCAACTCTACTCATCGCCATTGAACAAAGCGAAGAATCGGAGTCAAACCTCTACCTCAACTTCAACTTCTTCGAAAAGGCCATCTACAGACATTGTTGACCGCTAAGTAATTTCAAACTACTTCAACACTACGGTATGTAGGGCCCAAGTTTTTATCAACCTCATTCAACAGCCATATGGCAATGGAACGTATCAGGTGATCCATAACGAAAACCTCATGGAGGTGCTCTAAGTGAATACAGACTAAGACAAGCTGGCTGCCTATCATCACCAACGTTAATATTCTTAATTGTGGTGAACTGACTGGATTATGCGTCAGACTGTTCACGGGAGCAAGGAGACAGGAATCCGCTGGATCACCGACATGAAGACTTTAGAATATCTGGATTTCATGTGTAGACGATCTATGTCTAATCTTATACAAACCCGAAAACTTGCAGGAGAAAAGCAACAAACTTGCAGAAGAGGCTGGTAGCGAAGACAGGACTCCGGGTGAACGTAGACTATACGGGAGTGATGGGGATAACCATCAAACAGCAACAACAACCAGCACTAATCCCCATCAACAGGAGAGATCTGACAGAGGTTACTTCCTGCCTTCACTTATCTTGTATGCTTGATTCCAACAAGGGGTACTCGGAACAGATGAAGATGTCAAAGCCAGCCAGGGAGGATCAGAAAGGCAAGATACGTCTTCATCAAACTGAAACCAGTTTGGAAATCTTCTGCACCTAGCCGCATAAAGAATAAGAATAGGATTTTCAACACCAATGTGAAGTCAGTCAGTTTTTCTTGACGTATGAGAAGCTTGTACTGAGTATCACGAAAAGCATTTCTAACTAGTTACAGAGTTCTGTCAACAGCTGTCTTCGCTGGTTCCATAGTGAAAATCTAATGGCAAGCTGGTCAGCCAGAAGGAATTAGCAACATGAAACCCTGCTGTGTAACAAACCAACCAAGAGTCGATCAATGAACAAATATGTAGGAGAAAATACAGATCGATTGGACTGAGGAGGCTTTTAAATGAAACTGCTCGCCACGAGATATCACTTGAGTGGAACCGGAATAGAAAGCGATGAATGGTTCGTCCTACGGTGTAATGGAGAAGGTCGTGTGGGGAGGGGGGAAAATGAGAGATTATAGGCAATCGTAGACTCAGATGAAGAGGACGGTAGAAGATAAAACAAGGTAGAGATGTGTTGTTGAAGCCCAATATTCCACTCGGAACCCAAAGGAAAAAATAATAATGATACTTTGAGCTTTAGTAAAGGTCATAGCTTGTGACTTGAATCAGTACTAATTTATTTTTATCAATGTACACAAGTGCTCCAGTCGAATAGTTTTAGTATTTGAATGATATTACCGGAGAAGAGTAAACAGCTTTAATCATCAAAAACATGACACGTCCATTTTTAAAACTATTTGTTCTAACTGTTTATTCAAGATGAGTGAGAAATAATAAAGTAAGTCTTATATTTTCTAAATTTTTAATTACATCTGTATTTTTGGTACAAGTATGGAATTTTCAGCATGGGTATCGGTAGCCCAAATTTCGCAGGCCGACCATATATATCAGGTGTACGTCGGCAGGGGATTGAACCTCGGCCCATGTGCATGGTCATCGAGAGTCCTAGCCACTGTGCCACCAACGCACTTAAAAGCCAGCTCCTCGACCGAGGCTTCGAACCCGGGCCTTCCACGTGACAGGCGGAGATACTCTTCTGACTTTAGAAGCTGATATACATTCGAACCTTTGTTACACTGAACATTGTTTTTTCACATACACATCCATAGGATTATAATGTCAAAAACGAAAATGTTTATAAATACTCCTTAATATCCTATTCAATAAACGTTTGTACATACTTTATCTGCAAACATTCTTTTGTTTTACAGGATCGGTTGTACCTTGTAATGGAATATGTGAATGGTGGAGATCTTATGCATCGTATTCAACAAGAGGGGAAATTTAAAGAACCTGTTGCTGTGTATGTTGTAAAGGATTGGTATCATTACTGATCATAAGTTTCACTATTACTCAACACTTCAAATTTATTTATTCGTCACCATTTAGAATAAACGGAGACTTTAACGTATACGAGTGAAGTCACCCAGTATTTTGTTTCTTCTTCCATCTTTAGTTTTTGATGATGGTTTTTAATCTTTTTAACACTGCCCCACATATGTACCAATTTTTTGATACTTTAACTTAGGGAATGGTGATTTATAACTTATTATTATTGTTAGGTAAAAGAGCGCAGAAATGAAAAGAAATTCAGTGGTAAGGTAACAAAATAGAAACTTCTCTGTTAAAAGCAGAAAATAAAAATGCTGACGTTAACATGCGGATAGTATTGGGATCAATTTAAAATCATATTACAGAGGCTCCGCAATGAGATAATCTGTACAAAAAAACGACAGTGACAAACGTCAAGTCAGTTCTTCTATACCTATCAGAAACTTGGCGGGTCACAAAGAATATTTCCAACAGTCTGTTGCAGACCTTCATCTCTCTATACTGAAGATCAGATGGTCGGAAAGAATCACCAACAAGAAACTATGGGAACAAACAAAACAAGAACCAATCGCCTCCAAGCAAATATGCAGGAGAAAGTGGAGATAAGTTGGACACTCTCTGAGGAAGCCGTTAGGTGAAATCGCGCGTCAGGCACTCGAGTGGAACCCGAATGGGAAGCGGCGAGTAGGTCGTCGGTGCAATGATGACATGGAGGAGATCGTGTGGAGAGGAGTTGAAACGGTGTGGACTAACATGGATGCAGGTGAAAAGTACAGCAGAAGGAAGACAGAAGCAAGTGGAGACGCGCATTTGAAGCCCAAGGGAACAGTAATAATAATAATAACTAAGCAGAATCCATTTCTCTACACAGACCAGGTCAACCGTTATATAGCTTATCGACTGAAAACATACCCTGATTCAAATAAACTAGGCTTTCATAAAATCTAATTTCCTTTATTTGTTGAGAGAGATAGTTACTGAATAGACTGTGTACATGTCTGAACCACTTAACTGGTTGTAAATTCATAAACCTATCATATGCTGTGATAACATGCTTATTACTGAACGCCTAGCCGACACCGCATTGACACACCAACAATGCTGTGCGAATACATGGTGAAACTAAACCATGATTTCTATATTTGTAGGCCATGACTGCCTAGTAGTGAATGCATTTATAGTGATAGAGCCATAATAACAATATGCATTTTGATAATCGGCCTGGCTGCATATTATGAATCATTGATGTTGACTGTCTGTTCCATATTTTCCTCCTATCCTTCTCAAAGAGTATACAAATTGTTTCATTTTGTTTGAGAAAAGCAGCTGAAATGTGCAAACAGGAAGGGGTATGCATAGCTGGTTCTCCGTATCATTTATTTTGGGATTTATAGTTCTCATAATACTCCAAATACTTTTGCCTAGATGAACTGAGTTACTACTGTACATACTACTTCGCATGCTTACCGGTATTCTAATGAGATCTCTTCAAATAATGTGCATCCATCTGTTGTTTTGGGAAAAAAAATTTGAAAAAAATAAATAACATGTATCAGAGTTATTTTATTGTAGTCGAATTATGCTAGTTATTATGATTTACTTGTAGTGTTCTAAAATTTAATCTTCCCAAGGATTATGTTTTCGTTTCACATTAGCTTACATAAGCTTCCATGCTTAGACTTTTCTCGTATAAATCATCGTTATATCATCGAAAATTATTTGATTATATCCAAGTGGATTTTGTCACGGGATTTGTAATATAGGATAGACAACTACTTTCTACCTCAGTCATTGTGTTCATCGATTTATAGAGTGTGTTCTCTTTCCGACAATCCAAAAGTTTATTCCACATTTCTGCTTCTCTACCCACATTCTAAATCCTCTTCTAAATTGGCCTATATTTTAACTGTTTTACACATTTGTGTTCAACAAACGCCTACTATCGCCCATCCGATTATTCACCCCTCATTTCAAAATCTAACTGTACATTTCACGGAATCTTCTTCAAATTGTGGGTAGTCTACATATATGTGCGTGTGTAACCAAACGCTTTCATTTCTTCATATTGACTTATTCAATCTGACTGGAATTATGAAAGTATCACGTTAATATAATCGACACTATCAACTTCATCAACCGTATCTACCCACGGAAGTCAAACTTTCATCCATTCATTCATTCATTCATGCATTATGAATGTTAGTTTTCCTATACCCCCTCCGTCTAGTCTCACACACATTTGAAGAGATGAAAAGTTTTTTACCCTACAAGAGAGTACTTTTGTGTTTGCTTTTAAAACCAGTTGTTATTCATCCCCTTTATGGTTCATACATCTGCTTTATGTGGTGTCATCATTCGGCCTGCATTTTGATGTTAATGTTTGAGGTGACTAGGTTTTTATCTGGACTAGATTGTGAATTTCATGAGTGTGATATGAGTAGACGTTAATTGAGTATTTAAGTCACAACACTAGATGCTGCCAATATCCATGTGAATTATTTCTCATTTGATTATAATTGGAATTGCTTTATTAATTTCGATGATTTTTTCCCGCATCAATTGGTTTGATGTTGATTTTTTGAACTTAACCATGGACTCCATTTAATGATGTGTACTATTTTTATGTTGTTTTTTTTTTGATGTTTTTAGATTTTATTCAGCTGAGATTGCATTGGGTTTATTCTACTTACACAATCATGGAATAATATATAGGTGAGTGAAATAACGAGTCTGTGTATCAACTCTCCTTCGGATTTCTTTTCCCACCGATTATAACGTTTTCTCGAAAGTTCAATAATGAGGAGAAACATATTCTTAATTTAAGCAAAACAATGTATCGTGGCATGTTGTATTCAATGTAACTGCATATTTTAGTTCGCAGTCTTATCATGTTATATTTTAAGCTTATAACTTTATTCCTAGACGGTTGTTGACCGTCTATATTCGAGAAGCACTGCATCCAATAAAATTTGTATGGATTATTGGTGTTCTTTTAACTGTATACCTATCCTCGCATAATTTATCACGCAATCATAGTCTTTAGCTTCATTTAGCTTCATCTACTGTTTTCCTATCTCCTTACCGAATTTTTAAAGATTATGTAAGCTTTGAAAAGAGGACATTAACTATTAAACATACAGTAAGTCACGATACACTTTGGACATCATTTTATTGTTCTTTCCTACATTCGACCCAAAGTTACCCGTGTGGTTGCTTGAACTCTCATACTAACAGCAATTGTTTTGGATAATTGGATCGCAGTGGTCAGTTAAGTGGGAAAATTCCAACGCGGGGTACTGACACTTTAGGCTTTATGTAACTTCTTCTATTCATCTTTTTTTTATCCAAAGTATCATATTCTAAATGTATTTCTAGTTCATTTTCTTGATATATCAGTGATATCAGCATCAAAGTAATTATTGCCATAGGCGATGCAGGTCGTATATTATGGGAATATCATAGTGGTTAATACTGTCATTGTTCGTATTTTTATTATTTTTCACCAAACGTACACAGTATTGTCATTGTTTTGTTTCCTTCTAAGAATCTGCAACTGATATGTGTGGTACCCACAACTCTCACCTTCTTTTTTTCCATTCTGTTTTTGAAGGGATCTTAAACTAGATAATATTCTGTTGGACAGTGAAGGTCACATAAAAATAGCTGATTTTGGCATGTGTAAAGAAGGCATATTTGATGACAAAAAGACTCGTACATTTTGTGGTACTCCCGATTATATTGCACCTGAAGTAAGTGTTTACGTTACTTTATCTGTCTATATGGTTAGTGCTCATTAAAGTTCTGTTTGCGTAATTCTGTATGCGAACGCTGACACATTTTTTCAGTTGTACTTTGTTTAATTTTAAGGCAGCAATACTTTATATATCAATAGTTGCAACACAATCCAACCAAGTACATACTCTGATAAGAGTCTATTAATTTTCGATAAAAGGCTGCCCAGTGATTACAAAGGAAACTTACAAAGCTACTTGTATTCAGAGCATATTGATAGGGGCAAAATAATACATAATGTTTCACGTTGAACATTTTCCCTATTTGCCTAAGGCCTCTTACTCTTTCAGCATTTTTGTCATGTTAAGAAGTGAAATTTCTTAAATAACATTGTTTTCAGTGTTTTGGGAAGAAATTCACACATCATATAATCAGGATTTATTTTAGATTGTTTATGAAATGAAATTACCTACACAGATAATTTAAATTATTTTACTTGGAAATAATGTGTTCAGAAAGCCGACCAAATCACATTAATGTAATACATTTATAGCAGTTTTGGTGAGTACATTATAAGATGATGTAGTTGGATATAGGTAATGGTCGAGAAATTTCACTTGGAATACTAGTCACGGAAATAAGTGAATGACACAAGTATCCGGGAACTGCATGCGCAAAGTTTCCAAAGTTTGTTCCTTCTGCAATGAAAGGATTTCTTGTCTTACCCTATGGATGAATTCCGATGAAAAATTAGTGTTGAAAATTAGTGTACTAATTAATATAGTCTTTGAGTTTGAAGTTACTGTGATGTTTTGAATTTGATGACTAACAGTGTCCTAGAGGTCACAGAGTTCATTTTTCCACCTTATATTTTATGTCACCGTAGTCTGAAGCATTTCATTAAGACCTAATACGTCGACAACGTTGTGACCAGGTTTTATGCGTCGGCCTTCAAGTAGATGTTTGACTATGCAATTATCAATGATGAATTAATTCAAAGCAGCACGGCTGGTTACATGACTTAGGCACACTGAAGCCATTCTTTAATAAAAGTAGTGATTATAAAGTTCGGGTTTCTTAAACTGGAGCTAAAAGTGCAGTTATTGAGATGAAATATGTAGACGGTTCACCTACAAATTTTTCCAGCTGTATTCTTCATCTCCTTTTTGTGATACTAGAACTTCGTTCGAACTTCTGTTTTGTCTTCTTGCCCCAGACAATACTTCTGTGGTATTCAGTTTCTTTCTTTGTTTGAATAAAATAATAATAAATGGACATCAGAAATGCAACTATACTGTTGGTGTGGTACAATACTTCTTCTACATGAAATGCTGATAAGTGTAAAAGAAAAGTGACTTTTAAACATTGGAATTGATAATAGCCTAATGATAGTTTGTGTCTGTGGTTCAGTGGTAGGATACTCGCCAACCATACACTTCGATTCTCAGACGATGCACTCGTAAACCTCGCATAGCGGATAGTAATACTAGTAAAGGGGAAGGATTGAGTGTGAGGCTAGCAACTCCACCCTGTTAAAATGAACGCCACCGCTACTGAAACTTTAAAACTCAAGCTTAAAGCCCTAAGTTCCACTAGGAACGCTAGGGAATAAAAAATAAATGATGAAGTGGGTATGAGTTAGCCGACCTCATTTAAGCAAATCATTTGTGCCATAATACCTAGTTCTGTAGTTAAGGGATGGGTTGGTGTTTTCTGTGTTTCACGTGTAGTGTATTAAATATGTGAGTGCAAGAATTAGAAGGAATTAGAACAGAACATCCAGATAAATCCTCAAATATGAATAGTCAATAGACTTTCAAAACCGTTTGACCTCTATAAATGTATTTGTTCCCTGTGAGACTGATTCAGTCATCTAACCGTTTTTTACATTCATGTCTTCTTGTTGGGACGTTTTATATGTCCACTGCATAGAGAATGAGGTATATGAGGGCACATTTTCCCTTTATATGATGTTTTCATTACTCCAAATGAAAATAAAGTTGTCCGGAAAATAGGAAATATATTTGTGTCTTACTAAACTTCTCCATATGCTCAGTGACTCCACTCTACTTCATGTTAAAGTGACTTTAGTTAGATAAACAGAAGGAAATCAAACCTTTTAGTATTTGTTGTGAACTGGTGTCTTTACTGGAGTTTTGCTTTTATTTCATAAGCTCATTAAACACATACTGAAAACAATATTCATGCTTTGCCTAATTCTTGACACTAAAGTCAGATTTGAATCATTGCTTAAAAAAACTGAATAGTCTAGTGTACGCAGTGCAAAATGCTTGTTACATGTTTATTGACAAATTTTACATATTGATGAATACTGTATCGACTAAAAGTGAATAAAGCGCATCTGGAGAATGGTTATCATGGTATTAATCTTAGTTCAGTTATGCATTTTAATAAACCAAAATGATTATGCGTATTCTTCAGATTTACTGGAATCTTCATGCTTATTATTCAAGGCTTAAAGTCTCTCGTATTTATCTTTTCATCAGATTGTTGCTTATGAAATGTACGGTAAATCTGTGGATTGGTGGTCATTCGGCGTACTGATCTATGAGATGCTTGCCGGTTTGGTATGTAAAGTGACTTATGAATTTAACTACTTCATTGATTTTATATATATGTATATATATAGTATTTTTCACAAATACCTTTCATTGGTACTCGAAACAGTTTTCTAGGAAGTTTTTTCGTTTTGCTAATAAGTTACATAGAGTTAGTTCTCTTCGAAAATTCACGTTCATATAGTGCTGTAATTCTGACTATGTCTCCTTAAAATTCGAAAAAAGCTTTAATTATAATTTTAGTCCAAAAAATGCCAAATGTTCTTCTTGTATATTTGCACGCAATATTGAGAAGTATTTCAGTCCTTTTGATGACCGTTTTGGCTGGAAGTTAGTGAGCATACATCTCAGTTTTCAGTTTCTGCCTCCAACTATTTTTAACTCAGGGTAGACCAACCAAATCACTTTAACATTTTGAACATTTTCCTTCTATTTAAACAGGAGACAATTTGAATTTATTTCAAATGATTCAATCGAAGCATCATAGTAAATCTGTTGACTGATGTCAGCTACTTCATTTCTTAGCCAAGGTTGTAGAACCTTAAGTCATCACTCATCAGTTACATATATAACCTAACTGAACTTAAAAGTATTTCAAACACTTGGCCATTGAAATGCTGGTTATTTCAGATGTCATACGACTGGATCTATAGACGACTAACAATTGGAAGTTTCTTCATATAGAAATACCTGCTGTTGAGTGTTTAACCTGTACAGAGTGTATTAAATCAAACTGACACACTTAGGGTAATTTCACGTAAGATTTGGGGAAGGAAATGTGATGCAATTATAATGAACGAAAATGTATGCGAGAAATAACAATGTAACAAAAACTGGTGTGAGTTTTAAGGATCTAGAAAATAAAACGCGATAATACTTTTGTGCTACTGTGACTGATTTTGAGCCACGCCATTAACAGTCTCCAGCCATGGATTCTTAGCATACCAAGGGCTTCAGTAAAACGGTTTTCACTTCCACAAATGACTCAAAACAGTAGTTAGACACCTCAAGGGCTGGTGCAGTGTTTCAGGTTGATCATCTTTTATTATATCCTAATTCAGCTGACACTGCTCACCACAGAAGATCGTAACTTGGCAAGCGTAACTAGTAGCCAAGTAATTACGAACTAATCGACCAGCTTCTACCCCCTACCTGACACTACGCTAAACATGCTTGTTAATGACCATGTTGCTTCACCGGACACATGAGATTAAATGCAGAAGCCTATAGGTGAAAACCGCTAGTCTTTTCATCTCTTTCACGTTCAAGGACATGTTTCAACCGTAAAGTTTAATGAGGTGAGTGACTGTACAGTAAATGTCTTTCGATGGTTAGCTGTACATTAGATCTACCCTCAATATCAGTAAATCAATTATTCTCTGGATCACACTCATGTGTGCCTACTTCCGTATTTATATTCTCTTATTTTTTTGTTCTATGGAATGTAGTAACGCGAACTAATGTAACGCTTTGCTTTATCAATCAGTGATGCATGCTTGCATTTATTATGTATAGGCATTTTTGCTTGACATTGATTTCTTTCCTCATGAAGTGATCAAACTGTACGTTGTGATCACCTTCAAATATGATAATTATACTGGGTTAAAACTTGGTTTCTCTGTACGACAGTATTTATGCAAATCAAGTATCTCTTTCAGGGAAGCCATGTCTTACAACGAAGCGTGTGCACGGACCAAAAGAGAAAAAGGTTATAGAGTAGAACACCCTAATTTAGGGGAATATCAATTATATATGGAATCATTGATAAACATGTACAGTGTCACTGAAGTAGTAATATTTTATTACATGAATGTATTTAATTCATCCTCAAAGTATTTAGAAAATTATATAAGTGTTTCCATTGATTAATTTCGAGGCCATGTTTTCAAAAATATAAAGTCAGATATATTTTATATATTTTTACTGTCCAAAGACTGGATATTTATGACAGACAACTTTTCACTCTTCTGTGTTGTCTTCATTTTCAGCCACCGTTCGATGGCGAAGACGAGGAGGAATTATTTCGAAATATTGCCTCACAAGATGTCACCTACCCCAGACATATGTCAAGAGAAGCTTGTATGCTTTGCCGTGGTGTGAGTTGACGCTAATGCAATAATATATGTATATATGCAGACGGCGCTCTGATAATGTTGTTTAAGAAGGTAGTAATGTTTCCGTTATTGTTCAGAAAACTATTCATACTCAAGAATATTATTAAAGATAGCTGTTTTCTTTAAAAAGCAGCGTGAAGGATGCTCCGTTTTTCAGAATATTCATTCAATGCATCTAACTTGTTCTTCTCCGACAGCTTTTATCTATCGGTATGATCAGTATACTGAACTAACCATATCAGTAGTTTACTTTCAGATATATTTAGAATTTTGTCAACTGTAGAAGTCACTATACTAAAATGAAAAAAATATTATTGATATTGATTAAGAACATTATGCCATTGGAGACAGGTAAATTTGATACTTCCTTGATTGGTATGATTCAGCGGAAGGTTGGCATAAATTTCGAACGTGACATAGATGAACCGAGAATGTCAGTTTCGAGTATTATTTTAATATAAGCTCACGTGTCGGTGGAATCTCTCCCCTTCATTCTGAGTTTATACTTCACGTGGGAGAAAGGTTAGCACTCAAAGTTATGCGCTTAATGGAATTTGAGTGATGGTACTAAGCTGTTAATGAATAACTTAGAGATATTTATTGACTCCAAGATTTGTTGGGTTGATTGTGTAATATCATGAAAGTAATTGAATTGAAGTCCATAGTGTGTCCAGACGGAACAATATTGAGTGTTGTGCAAGTAACAAATAATCTCTAGTATCTCATGATATCTTTCCATGCTTTTATGGTGTAAAATGCAAGTTAACTTGAAATCTCTCAGTTCATTTACCTGATTTTTAAACATTTACAGACAGTGTAAAGTTATTTTAACTAAATGAAATAAATTGTCATGAATACATAGGAAAAGATAGCTTTGTATGACAGTGATTTGCAACACCTGGAAACTGGTGTTCACTGGGGGACATTTTCTTGAGTATGAAGCGTATATGAACCAACAGTTCACAAGCACCTTGGAAGTGTACTGTTCTCCTTGAACTAACAAATACGTATAATTGAGATATGTAGTCCAGTGTAACTGCTGCACAAAAAGGCTCTTATCAAAGGTTTTATAGGGAATTTTCTTTTAATGTCATACAGGTTCAGTGAGACCTTTGAGATAGATTCACGGAAAGAAAGAGAAGGGAGAAGAATTTTGTACTAAAATAATTTCACGGAATAGTTGAAAGCATCGAGGGATTGTCACGATGTAGCTCAGCCTGATACAATCTGAAGTAACTACATATCATACATTTTTTGTCATATGAAGCAACGTCATGCATCAAAATATGCGTAATCATCGGTGTACATCAGTTGTTTGTATTCTGTAGTTCTTTGAGTGACCTACATTTTGGTCGTGCACTGATACACACACGTACAGTTGTCCTGAAATTATAGTTGAACAAAAACGTATATTTATTACGGAGTGATTGTATTTTCTGTATCTATGACAAAAGGCTTAGTTTCATTTGTTATTTTCTCATATCAATCAAATTTTGAGAGATCTGATGGATGTTGTTTACAGAATGACACATTATGATTTGGGGAAGAGGTTGAAAGATAAAATTTGTTCGTTTATTGAGGACTTTTAAAGGCTGAACTGTTATCATACTAATGTGTGAACAATATATGCTCACTCTATTTGTACTTTATTTAGCAAAATTAGGTCTCACTTTGTGATGTGCGTTTCAATTCGGGTTAATTCAGTTATTAGATGCTTTTATTGGAATTACGCTTGACTGACCAAGAATATTTGACCAGTCGTAAATCCCTTGTACATTTATTTATCATATTTCTTCATTTCAAGGCGTTCTTTGCTAAACAGATTTATTCAATCAGCTTATGAAAATATCAAGTATAATGAATTATCGTTTTTCGCTAGTTTTGTTATGCACCAAAGAGAGTAAATATGGTTTTCGACTTGCTGTTGCTGTCATACTTCTTGTATTGACTACTTTGAAATACTATAATATATTTCACACAACATATTTTCTCTGCTCTTTAGGATTGATTTGTAAATAACTTTACAGATGATTAATGCAGATTAATATTATAGCGTGTTTTAGTATAAAGACTTATCTAAGGTATTTGTGTATATCTAGATATCTCTTAACCAGTGTGCATATTTTCGAATTTTTTAAGCTTGATTTTAAATTCTCTTATTAGCTACTAATACGCAATCCTAAAGAAAGACTTGGGTGTGGGCCAAATGGCGAACGAGATATACGGGAACACCAGTTTTATCGTCGTATCGATTGGCATAAACTGTCCAACTTGGAGATTCAACCACCATTTAAACCTCGCATTGTAAGTTTATATTCAGAACTATTTTTTAAAGAACTATTTATCTAGGTTTATTATTGAATTTTCGATTAAGAGTTGGAAATCATACTGCTAAATTTGAATAATAAGCGCCACGAGGAAGTAGTCGTTAGGTGGCGCTTTTTTGTCAGCTAGAATGATCAAAGAGGCATTCTAATTTTTTACCTTTAGACTGTCCTGTTGATTGTATTGTTGTTGAATAGTGGAAATTGTCTGTGGATAAAAATCTGTTTCGCTCTAACCATTTGATTGAAACATGTATACGCTGCCTATTTTACTTCGATCTCATCAAACGAAATCAATTTAAAGCTTTTTGGTTGGTTTGAGTGACTCCAATTATTGGAATTATTACAGTTCTATTATACATTTCAGTATAAAGTGGTGGGATACGACGTCAAGAAAGAGAAGAGAGATATTTTGCCAGTTGGCATATATATGTATATATCATCTTTACAGTAGTCTGTTTTAATATTTCCTAAAGATTGTCAGAGAGGTTTATGTAATCTAAATGTGGACTCCAGAAACCAGTATTTTCCTAAAATTTATTATCTCTAGTCTTCAGAGACTTATTTCTACTTCTTTATATAAATTTGTAAAATAAAAATTGATTGTTTTGATTAAGTGTATTTCTATGGTATTTGCTGAAACATTCATTTAAAAAGGTTTTATGCGTACAGTATGACAAGCTCCCCGTGTTTTTCGGACTACTAAGCGTATTTATATATTACAGAGAAATAGGTTCATTTTTACTGATCTTAAACTCTGGTGTTATGTGTTCATTCTGTCAATTTTCACAGTAGGTGTCATTTCTTCAAGCACACTTCTGTGATGTATGTTAATTAAAATAATTGTCTGTTATACTGGTATTTCCAGGGGTTTTAATTAATGGGAACGCTTATAAAGCAAACATTAGCTGATTTGTGCCTGGAAAAATTTACATTTGTAGGTGATAGTCGTTTGTTTTCAGGTTCTTTTTTAGCGCCAATCGACATACAAGCCGACAAAATGGTAAAAGTGATGTAAAAGCTATGTAGACTATCGAAAAATTGATGTACTTAATTTGTGTTAGGATGTGGTGAGTGAAGAAATGAGATATTCTAACTCCAACTTTCTTTGAAAAACCAGTGGAGAGGTGGTTAGTTGATCATTGATATAGTGAAAAGTGAATAATGCAATCATATCTGCTTCATAGATAATTAGTAGGTAACAAAGAAGAACATCAATTGGTAAAACGTAAATATCAGTGGATTTGTGGTTATGTAGGGCGGTTTCAAGTGCACAGAATAATTAATTGCATTCCGTTCTTATGCCTAGTGAGCATTATTTCCTAACCTAAGAAGACTACCTTTTTTCCTATTTAACTACCAAAGTTTAAATAAGTAAGGTGCATTGACTCATGAAAAGAATAAGGTTTTATTGAATCCACTGTTCATATGACTATTTATCGGTATCCGTTTTTCATTAATTTACCAGCAGAATAATATACAGTTGAATAAAGATAACTGAAAATCAAGATAGCTGCATAATTAATTTAGTTAACTCAACTTTAGATGGGTTTTAAACTGCATATTTTTTTTGCATTCAAAAGCATACCGATGTATATATCGCTTAAAGATAATGGCGCAGTATTTACTTGTAAAAATGTTTAGAATACTCACTGATCATATATATATATATATATATATATATATATATATATATAATGTACATTCAAAAAACAAATGTCTGTCCTGTTGATTTTTAATATAATGTTCATCTTGTAAATGAAAATGTCGAAACTTTCTCTTTTGAATATTGTAGAAGAACAAACGAGATGTGACAAACTTCGATGCTGATTTTACCAAAGAAGCACCTAAATTAACACCAACAGACAAATTATTTATTATGAATTTAGATCAAACTGAATTTGCTGGATTCTCTTATGTGAATCCAGAATACGTACTAGAAGTATAACCACAGATTATATCAGTGTAAACTCAGATTCTCCAGCCTATGTAAACTTCTGTTTTGATAAGTTCCAATTGTAATCAAGATAATCAGTTTACAAATTCACAACTATGCAAAACTAAAAATGAGCGCTGAGAAAATTTAATTATTTATCAAGTATTCATCAGTGAATAAATTTAAATAAACGAGTTGACAATCTTTTTATTCACCAGTACTTTATACTTTCCTGATTTTCTTCCTCAACGTTTTCTACTCAAAATGATACGCCTAGTTTTACTTTTGTATAAAAACCAATAAACAGTTCCGTTGTTACTCAAGCATTGAAAAGGCTGAAGTGTCTATTTTCCAGTCCAACCGCATAATTGATCATCTTAAATTGGGTTTATTTTTTCATATATCAATTAAACAATTATTTACTTTGATTACAGTCGGGCTTTCGATGATAATTGTTTTACTCCTTGAATATGTATTACTCTAGTTGTTGTCTTCGATATGACTGCCTTTCCATAAACACATACACACAAACTTATCTGTCTTGCTTTTTACTCGGTTGATTTGTTTTCTGTAATTATTTTTTTTTCTGTTTTGTTTTACAAATCAGTCTGTTTATGCTTGTTCTGCACTAGCTAAAGAGGATATTTCTTATATCTATGCAAGCTTCTTTGCTATTCACTTGTCCGTAATAATATGTATTCCAGTGTATCTTGACCTTTTGCATATGCGTATTTGTTGCAATGACAACTTCCCCTCTCCCACTTTTATATTTGCTATTTCTGTCTAGGTTCACAATAAAATTTTGTACCTCAATGTATTAAAATCGAAACATACCTGTGTATATTATGCTTTAGTCTGTGTTTCTGTCCCACTCCTCTTTCGTGCTATATATATATATACATATATTTATATTATTCGACAGATTTTGTTTCCTCTTTTATTAGTTCCATGCAGTGTTGTCTTATTCAAGCATACTAATTAGCTTTACTCCATTTTGATATAGCACACTGACATATACAGAAACAAATTAAATGCCAAAACAGTCTAATATTGAATCAAATACTTTCTACTCTGATTCGCTGTGACATTTGAAGAGGCATCAATCAATCCATATTGTTTTTTTTACAGAAGTTCAGTAGCACTGGAAATCTTTACTTCTGCATTTATTTACTTGTGTTATTTTAATTAAAATGCATACCGTGAGCTTTTGGAGAATGCCGAATAGTTCGATCATTTCTACTTTGTTAATGAAACTGACTGTGTACACCTATAGTACGTCAAGATGTATGTATGTAATGAGACTCTTATGGAATCACTCTATAGACTTGTTAATTATTATTATTATCAAATATTGCATTTATTCAAACATTCACATTGAATTATGATGATATGCATCGCTTTATCGAGCATATATTGACTGATGAGTAATTTTCTTTCGATGATGTTACTATTTATTTTGAAATAAATAAATATATGCTAATTGTGTACACCATTGGTGTTTCAACTTCCTATTCTACGGTTCACAATGACGTGTACACGTGGATTTCTTTGGCCAATATTTTTGATAGAGGGTTACCAGTCAATTGGAGTCTACAGAACGCTGACTGAAGCTCTACACCAACTGTATTTTGTTTCACTATCTTGGCTAACTATGTATTCTATTGCTAAATTTTTCATAACAGTTATAATAATGGAAATTAATGGAAAATAAGTGAACCGTAGGCTTGTTTTAAAATGTATTCGTGGGTAGTATTTTTCCGTAGACAAAAACAATTAATATTTACTTTCTAAAGAGTGTTGCTAATAACTATGGTTAACTTGTATAACAAAGTAATATTTCTTCAAATATTTCTAAGCACCTCCAAGCGCTCTCATTACCAATAATTATTTTGTAGACATGGTGAACTCTGAAAAGAAAAGATGTATAAAATAGTAGCTTGCAATGTTATACAGAATTCCAAAATTTTATGTAGCAATCTTTGTGTACACTTGAAACATCTAATTAGTCTGGTTTCCATTACCCTAAGTATTGGGTTATTGAGTGTTTATTTTCATGACATTTACCAGGATACATTATAAATTATTTAAATTAATCCCAGCGTAATAAAAAAATCAAAGCAAGATTTTTCTGAACGTTTCGCCGTGTAAGCCACAGATTCTTCAGCAGATTTATTCGGATTTTTATTAATCATCAAAATATATAGTCAAATTTTTTTTACATAAATTGAAATCAGTTTATTTGAAGGTCAGAAAAATCTTGTTTTGGTTTTCTTAACACGCCGGGATTAATTTAAACAATTTATAATGATTCAATCTGACTCGGCGCTCAAATTATTCCAGGAAGTTCGTAACACCTACGGTCTGGAAACCTATAATTTTCCAGGATAGTTTGTCTTGAACTAAATTCTTTAAGATGAATTCTCCAGGGGATATTTATCACCGTTCAGTAAAATCCGTTGTATAATACCTTTATTTAAGTGAGCATAAAGATTAAAGGTTGGCGCTGGCATAATTATGTCTAAATGGCACATAAGTGGGGCAATTTTTTATTCATTTATAATATTGAAGAGAAATAATTAGCTTGATGTCAATCTTCAAGCAAATGTGAATTATACTTTTTCTCATGCTACCGAGTGCATTCGTCTAATCTATGTAATAACTATTCATTGTAATAAAGGTCTTTTTGTATTTTCCAATGAATGAAAACAAAACGATACGTAATAACTAACTTCACAAATTTCCGTTTGCTCCAATTCGTTCCCCCTCATTGTTTTCACTGTCTTTTCAAGTTTTTTTAAAAAGGAGTCGTTAGTATAATATTTTCCTTCGGTATCTGACAAAAGAACATTGCTAGAAACTGGAATCGTACGACAATCATGCTACAGTGAATGACAAGTTTTTATTGTCACCCAGAATATACTTTATGTTAGTGATTTTTGACATGTGTTCTGAAACAAAGGAACAAAACCATAGTGTAGAATATAGTTATCTCCATGGGTAAGATTATTACATCACTGAAACCATTTTAGACATGCACCTTGTTCATCTGCTCACAAAAATAATGATCTTACATTTAGTATTAGTCATAAGTTTCATTTTTCCGCTCAAAAATGTTTGCCTGGCCTTGTCTTTTCAGGTTTACATGCATTCGATTACTGGTTCATGTTACTTACCAACATCTGAGCGGCGTGTAACAGTACATGAAGTCTACTGATAAAGTTTCCAAGCCTATCAAGAGACTTCTGTAGTTAATTATTCCAGTTAAACAGGAAAGACGTAATCAAACGTGATCAATACACTAACGTAATGTCACCGATAGTTAGTGCAGTCATAGGAAACAGATAGTGTTTTGTTATTTGCAGAAACCGGAAGTACTTAAGATTAGATTGGCAGAAGTATTAAATAAGATAAGACTAAGCCAAAGGCAGACTTCATTATAGATTTCCCACGTAAAGCGGAATCCTTTTTGTGATCACGCGACAGTAACCGAAACCGATTTTCGTTTGCACTGATCGAAAGGTCATGTGACGATTTCTCACTGTCTAGACATCCTTCAGCAGATGAGTTCGCACTAGAAAATAGTTGGTTGTGTAAGTATTCACATCAAGTTCTTCCAATAAAGTACATCGTTAAATGTTTATTTTTACTGCAAATGCATTTTGGTCTTATTTTGCACCGTCACATCCTTTTTCAGATATCACACAGATTTTTCATTGAATCAACCTGAAAAATTTTGATGTCACTCTTCTCAAAACATTCAAGAATAACCTAAGGGAATCTACAGCATACCTTGCACGTTACAAAAAATATTGTTTGCAGGTTCACATTAGCAATTACTTGTTGAAATATTTCAGAATGAAATGTTTCGGAGTCCTTACTGACTTCGTTTTTGGTTAGTGGATAATATAACTTAATATCGTGATATCACTTAATCTTGTCATTGTCATCGTTTATACAGCATTCTAATTCAAGGTTTACACAGTCACCCTGGCTGTGTTTCTTACTAGGAACAATCTGGAATTTTGACAACTTCAGAAGATATTGTGCACAGTTGGTCTTCAATGCATATATGAATTATTCCATAAGAATCGTGCAAACTCTATCATGACATTATTCTATTCCTAAGACTTTCTGTTCCCTCACTTGATTTCCTGTAAGGGAGTGTGATAACACGAATCAATATGCAAATGTTATAGCACATGTACTGTGTCTGTTGCTTAAGTACTCGGGATTTATTGGTTTCAATTCACACTTTATCTATCACACTGCTAACCATTTCCTGGATGGTCATTCTTTGTTACACATTATCAGCAAGTAAACTAATTGAAAGGAAGCGACCTCAGTGAAGTCGAAGCCACTGTCTTATAAGTCAATGATTACATTCAAATTTTGGTTACTGAGAGTTAAATAAATGGATATAGAAATTCCTTTGAAACTTTTGTCTGGAATGAATCAATTAAAGTTAAAAGTAGAGAGAAGAACTGCTAGAATCTGTATTTGTTGGAGCATAACTAAGTGTTTGTTTTTTCTTTATTCTCCTAGTACTGTCAATGGTAAAGATGAAGAAAATTGTTGAAGTTTAGCAAGACTGTGTAACAGCCATACAATAACTACACTACTTTACATTCCGCCATTATTTGTACACTGAGTTTACTGACAAAAAGGGTATAACTTATGTCTCTTAAGAAATACGAAAATAAGCTGTTCGGATTGGCTGCTTTTTCATCCCTAACTGAAATGATAATTTAAAAAAACACTAGCTTCTGAATAATGCATTAAAAATCAGTCTTAGTGCTATTAGACATTGGTTGAACTGGAAATCTGATGCAAATGTGCATCATTGACAGAATATTAATTTCATCTAGGGTAAAAGTATGCCATGATGACAGGAGCTCAAAGCAGAATGAGACATTCATATTTTTTTATAATGAACATATCACAAACAGTGAGGAATTCCAGTGATTTATTATTATCCTAAGACTTGAAGGTTAACTGTAACAATTCGAGACAAT